GAAAAATGATAAAAGTGCCACCTACGGGTTATTAATATGTTAACGAAAGCTACTTTCCACCCCCCTTTTGTAATATTACCATAGTTTAAACGAGCCTGGCTTCGGTGGAAGATCAAATTTCAGTACCCTCCATCATATTTCAAGTTTTACGCTTGATTCCAGCGAACTAATCATCTGCCCCCCACGATCGAGACAAAATTCGCTACCTACCCCGCTTTCAAGCAAACTAGCTCCGATATTGTACCGTATCGGGTGAAAACAGCAACTGGAAATGAAGTCTTTAATCCGAACGTCGTCGTAATTGATCTCGCCGCATCTGCAAGTAATTTACGGGAGCATGGGGCTCAACGCGCGACTACAAACAGAATCAAATTGTCCCCCCGGCCACAAATCACGCAATGATTCTCGCGTCTTCGGTCAGTAATCGCTGTTTCAAACGGATATTTGCCTAATTCGCGGTTTGATTTAGCGCGCGATCGTTCGATTTGGCTAGGATCCAATCGCTCCCGTTCCTTAGGAAGGGATGCAAAGCTTCGGTTCGCGGGGGAGGCGGGACGGAGAGGGAGAGGGAGCCGACGAAGAAAGAGAAGAGGTGGCGGCCGCGTGTCGAAAGGTGCGTTGTACTCAAACAAAGTAAGATATAATTAGACGGGTAGACGGCTGCGACTGCAGGAAGCCCACGTGTGAAAGTTGCTCGCAGAAACCTCGGTCATCGCTAAAAAGATCCCCAGGAGCACGGGAAATCGTTCGCTTTCTACGACTTTTACCGTCGGTGGACCTGCGCCGAAAGTTATTCGGAAATAGAACGTTCCGCGAATGTACGAGTTGTTTTCGCGAGCCGGCTACCCCGATGTCTCCCTGCGTTGGACTCTGAACCGAGCGATAGGGACGAGATAAAAAGTACTTTCGAATCGAGCATCTATAATTAAAAACTGCCAACTTGTTATTATTTATATTTTAAGTCATTGCAAACTTCCTGTAAACTCATTGATTTATATTTCTTAAAGTTAGACTCTATAAGATGAGGGAAGATGGAAATTTGGTTGGAAGAATACCTTTTCGTGAAAGAAAACAGTGGATGACTCGTGGTCAATTATCGAGGACAGAATTCGGTCTTGTATCGAGGGAATATTGTACGTCGAATAAACCATCGGTTCCTATGAGTCTCTAGCTCGAAAAGTAGCAACATGGTTGCAAGAAAATCTTCTAGAGAACGAAAATAATAGTGTGGATGACTGATGTTAGTTAATCGAAGGCAGAATTTGATCAATAAACGAGGGAATACTGTACTACTCGAGTAGACTAAATAAACCATTTGTTTCTATAAGTGTTTCTGGGTTCTAGCAAAGTGGGCATTATTTACTAAAATGACTGGTGCTTTTAAGTACACGCTGCACTTGATCCCATCGCTAAACACAGATGCCCAAATATTTACCCCTTTATTTCTGCGGCCAGATGAGAACTGCTGAGGTCGAGACTCATTGTCAGATGTCTTGGCATCTCCAACAGGAGTGGGTGGAACGTCTGTCGGTGCCTCACGGTTTCGTTCTTGGCGTGTATGAGTGTAAGAATGCATATACAGCTCGCGATATGAACGTCGACGCACCTCACGCGAGTGAATGCATTCTTACCTGCGTCGATACATGCCAGAGCCACGCAGGTTTCGTTTAATGTTAAAACGGCATTCGACTCGATCGGTGTCAGTATTTTATTTTCAATCGAAATTAAACGAGCAACTGATTATCGAGATAGTTAAACAACTTTTGTTTCTGATTCACAAGAAAAATGTTTACTTTCCAATGTACGAGAAAACAAAGTACTGTAATAAAATTGTAAACTAATTTTCATAAATTTCACGTGCAACAATTATTCAAGGGATCCGTATTCATAGCGAATGACCTGACGTAACGCCGTCATGCGTCATCGAATCCATAATACGCGAAACGTTTCCATTTTCCGACCAGCGAGTCGCGTACGCCGTTTTGTGTCCAGAATTTTTTAACGACGTCTTCAGAAACGCGTACCTCGAACAATACAAGAAACTGGAACGGTCTCGGTAGAAGAAACTATTGTAACGCAAACGGAATTGCAAGTAAAATAATAATCACCTACACGACAGATCAGCCTAACCATTTAACGATACTAATTTCCAGAGTTACGCGAAAAATTCAATTATTTTCTAAACGAAAAATATAAACGATATTAAAGGATTATAAAGAAACCAACTACTTGGAAATGCAACATTTCGAAGCAGTTTCAACAAATTGAAATACAATTATAACGGGTAAATTTGAGTGGTTTTCTGACTTCCTAAAAAATTGCAAAAAAGTTCCAGGGAAATATGCAATAAAATTGAAAATGATTCGTAACTTTCGTTCCACGCTCGCAGGTATTCGAAGCGTTTTCAGCTCATCAGTATATTCAGCAAGGTGACAAGTAGAAAAAAAATACTGTACGACCCCCACCGTCGGCGAGGATTGTCTGCAAATTACACTCGCCCGGTGTACCGTCTGGCACAGACAGGTCGACGTACTCGGTGTTCGAAAAATGCGCGATGACCTGCGTCACCATCTGATGCGAACCTACTGCATACTTTGAGAGCCCAATCATTCAGCGCAGCCGCGATGCAGTCAATGCATACACGCTGAATGCAGTTGTGGACATACTTAGCGATGGGATCAAGCATATCGCAAGTAGTACCGAAACCTTACCGGACGCGTTCCAATTCTGTACCAACGGTCGAAAAAACGAAAGTAGTAGCCTAAGAACCGTACTCTGAACTCTTGTATTATTAACAAATATACATTAACAACTTTTAAACAATATTTATTGTCAATCTACACCCATTTGAGCGATCCTCTAAATCTAGACTCTGGACTCTAAGCCCAAAATTAGGCCAAATCAATGTCAAACATCTCCAAATCTTCAGCTATCGAGCTCCCCATGGAGCAAACATACTGTATGCAACTTTTGGGGTTGGACAATCCTTTCAAATCGATTTTGCTTTTATCAACTACCTAGACTCTAGACTCTAGATCCAAAAACAAGTCAAACAACTTCAAATCTTCAGCTATCAGGCTCCCTATGGAGCAACAATCCTGTACCTAACTTTGAGGGGTTGCAAAATCCTCTCAAATTGATTTTGCTTTCATCATCTACCTAGACTCTAGACTCTAGACCCAAACATAGGCCAAAACAATGTCAAACATCTTCAAACAATCAGCCATCAAGCTCTCTATAAAACAAAAATCCTACACCCACCTTTGGGGGACAGAATTTACGAGGATGTGTGACTGTCTAGACTATCAACTACCTAGACTCTAGTCTCTAGACCCAAAACTAGATCAAACCAATGTCAAACATCTCCAAACCTTCAGCTATCAAGCTCCCTATGAAACAAAAGTCCTACACCCAACTTGGACAATCCTTTAAAATCAATTTCCCTTTTATCGACTACCTAGACTCTAGACACTAGGCCTCCAGGCACAAAGGGAGGTGAAACCAGTGTTGATACACAGGAAAATCGTCCGCAATCGAGATCTCTATGAAAATATCAGTACCTGGAGCCTACGGAACAGGATTTACCAGGACTAATACGCATCGAAACTAGTCTGCGCACAAATCAGCCCGAGGAGCTAGCGTCAGAGTTAACCGAGACACGCGTAATCAGTGATTAGCGATCGCGCGACAAATCGTCGGTTATTGGCACGTTACGAGCATTATGCGCGCTCGTTAATATCACTCTCCCTCCGCGACAGCGAAGTTCAAAGTCGTAGATTTCAATTAGCCGCACCGATGCGACGGAGCACTGGTACATCTAGGCTGCGGCTATGCGTCAGCTAGGCCGCGACAGCCGAGCGTTGGTTCCCTCTTCAGCCACGCCACAGTAATCGAAACGCAAACCGGCCGGATCAATGATATTAGCCGCGATAACGTTTCTCCAGCTCCCGTCGTCATAATGGAAGGGCATCGGGGCTTCACGAGATCGTGAATGATGCAGTTGTACACGATATAAGACTGGTAACTGCAACTGCACGATTAATCACGGCTGTCAGGGTTACGCGGAATTACGGAGTGATTGATTTTCAACGTTCTAAGTCTACCCGTCGACGTACCCTCTTCTTATTTGCATCATAGACATTTTTTTTAGGGGTAACTGGACCCTTGATGGTCTTGAAATACTTCCTACGCAATGATCTGATCGATTAGTACTCGATTGCTAGAGAAATGTATGTCTCGTGCAGTAGTCCCTCGCTATATGACGAAAAACGAGACTCGCCAAATGCTAATCATGATATTTTGAGTGTAATTAAATGTAATACTTTCGTATGAAAGTTCGTAGTAGTGGTGGGGACGATTCCAGCATATTTATCGAGGATGAAATTGTTTCGGTTATCCGGGTATTGCTATAGTGCAATTTGCGCGTTAAAAAGCGTCGTGCAGATCGATCTACGATCCATTCTACAACCCCCAACGACGAATTGATGGTTTCTGACCAACGCGAACAGCCAGAAGTACTTTTTCTAACCATCCTGCGCTAGAAAGTAATCGACCGCCTTGATTACTATACTTTCTCCCGGCCAGCAGCTCGCCTCCGCTGAAACTTAGGTGTTACGTGCATCATCGGGACGCACTGGTGGTAAGTTTAGCATAAAAATTACCTCGGAACGATGCCGTATAAGCGTGCGCGCGCCGATATTGCCGAGTATTACCGTAACTGCCGCTGTATTATGGCAATTTTCAATTTTGCCGCACTCTCAATCGCCCCCTACCCCCTCTCTACCGACCGCCAAATGAGTCTAGCTACTGCAAGGGGGAGAGAAAAATTGGACAGACGTCGCTCGGGTCCCTGTTCTCTCTCGGTTGGCTGTATCGTGACATTAGTTATTGCAAAAAAAGTGTCACGATGCCCCATTTGCGATGGTGCCGCGACAGTGTTTCTCAAACGTCGCATAAAATAAAATTGTTGGCGAACAGTCCAAGAATAAAATTGAAAATACCTGTAATTTGTTTCTCTTCGGTTTGTCTTCGTAGTTTGGGATTGTGTTCAAGGTTTGTCTCACGAATGATGTCTTACCTGCGAACAAAGAAAATGGATTTTCATTAGACGAACGTATTATAAATGTACCTAATATAACGTTCAACAATGTGTGACCAAATGATGAAGTATGCAGGTAATTTTGATTTTTGTTACCGGAGAAATATCTTATACTATAGTCCCTCGTTTTAAGGTCAACAATCAGGTCCGCCCAGTTGCGAATAATAATCTACAGTATAAAGTTACAGACTCTGAGACGAAAATGTATCTCTCGAAAGTGAATTTGAACAGTTATCGGGTGTGAAATTCATACCAGATAACTGATACAAAATTTGTACAATTATCCGGGATGAAATTTGATCAGTTATCCGGGGTAGGATTACTCTACAGTTGTGCAGGGTAAAATGTTGTATATTTATTTAGGATAATGCATGTGCAGTTATCGAGGGTAATATCTGTACAGTTATCCGGGTAGCGCTGTATTCGTCCGTTCGGACCGGAGTTACTAGCACAGAATCTCCATCATCTCGCCTAGAAACTGGAAGGCAAAAACGCGGAGGCTAGACGCGTGCAGAAGTTGCGTTCTAAATTGCATTCGATAAACGCCGTGATTTCATGCAGTTTCGTCGTGAAGCTGCTGGTGGTCACGGTTGCTCGTGACTGCCTCGAAGTAACGGTGAAGATCGCCAGGATTCTTTCGCGAAAGTAACGGAGCGAAGGAGGTGGAAAAGGTCGTCGGCTGTATCGAGCAGCGAAATTAATCACTCGGGATCGATAATATCTCTCTCTCGCTTTGACCTCCAAAGATCTCGATCTACGAAATCAACAGTGAAGCCGGGAGGCTGCAATTACGATTCGAACGTGCACCGTCGATCCTCGAAGGACTGTTTACCTGTTCTTTAACCTTACAACGTGGAAAGAATTTAATTTTCAATGATTCATTCAGAAATATTATCCTCTAATTGTTTTCCACGGTACAAATTACGTTTGTTGATTTATTCAAAGCGAGAAAAAAGTGCTGCGATTATTTTATATACTATAGGTTAATTAAGAGGATTGTATTAATTTGTTCGTAAAGAAAAATAATTTGATGGTAATAATAATGGGGACAATGTGAAATTTATACATTTCAGAAATATCAGAATTATACCAAAGTATTATTAAACTAATATAAATAAGGAAAATGAGAGCAAGAATAGACGTGTTTTTCACACGTACGTAAATATTGATCGAATACTCAGGTGCGCAATATACAAGGTGTCCTATTTTCACATCGATATTAATTGAAATTTATTTATCGACGTCGACTCGAATACTCGCCCGAATAACACGGACACTATTTAACCCATTAGCGAAAATGCAACATTGATTATTACTATTTTTTTCGTGAGATAATTAAATTTAGAAAATGACCGTATGTTTCATAATGGAGTAATTATTTTAATTTCTCCAAATAATAGAGAAATCTCAAGCATGGCTGTATCGCAATAAAAATTTTCAGCTTCCGATACGCGTCATTTTTCCTGAAGTCGAACGATATTCCTAATAATTCTTATTTAGATAAATTATTCAGAAGGAAAGTATTTGCCCAGTCGATGATTTCGAATACATATTCATTCTGCAATTATTTTAAATACATATTCATTCCGCGCTGCTCGAATAATGGCCAACTCCACTCGGTCCGAACGAATTCTCACTCTTTCGCCGTGCAATTCCATCGAGAGTCGGTTTACGATCCCATCCCAGACCATTGGCGCGATTTCTTTACGGGCGTTAGTACCGAGCCGTGCATTTCGTTTCGCGAATGTCAGAGGTAACGTTGCTCGCTGAGGGTTTTTCGCAGGAAACGTGTAGCGATACGATGGATATGAAGGCGGAATGAAAGCTGCTGGAAGCACCTTCGCGGAGGAAGAGAAAGGACGCCATCGAAGGTGTACCGGGGGAAAAAAGTAGGAAAACGGACGCTCGTTTTTATCGAGCAGACCATTCGATCGCCCAGTAACTCTAATAAATACTTACTATTAGAAACTTTAAGCGAAATAAGAGAGAAAAGAAAAAATTAATCAGTATTATTAACCAACACACAAAAGAAATAGTGTAAAGTCCTTCGACACGTTCGGTTGAAGCGAAATAAGTTGGCTCCTCGAGGTCACCGAGGCCCCATCCCCACCACAGAGCTTAGCTACCTCCACTGGCGCCCTCTGACGTGGTCAACGCTAAGTTTCCACGAATGGAACGACAAAAGTTGCGACTGACGTGATTTACAATCGAAAATGGCCTCGAGTGACCGGTCAATTTTGTTGCAACTATAGAACTACCTTGCATTCAGCAGGTCAATCTCGAAAATTGATCATCATCGAGGTTATATTTCGCGTGTGTGTTTCCGTCCGGGCGCCAGTAGATAAATTCAATTTCCTACTTCTGAAACGGCCGCGCTGCAACGATATTTTACATTTTCCATCGACAACCTCGTGGCCCTGCGTTCGATGATTTAAGCTCGAACGCATCATCACCCCGGGACATCAAAAAATTAAATCAATTAAAACAATTCGTTTAATTGAAATGATAATTGAGTTACGCGAGCGCCCGAATAACCAGTCGCGTCTCGGCGCCATCGTGTGCGTTCTTTTACACCTTTCTGGCAAACGAGAACTATAATTATATAATACAAAGTACTAATATATATACAATAATTTTGAATTAAAATTTTTAATTTGATTCACTTTGCAGAAAAATTTTGAACGATGTAAGTTTGATTCGTTAGAATTAACATAACGTTTGTCGAATTCTTTATTTACTTTTTAAGCTCGTCGTTTGCTAATAGGAGGAAGGATAGTTGATTGTTATCGCTGTTGACGGTGTAATTTCGAGTAATGAGGACGACGGTTACATTTTAATCTTCATTATTGAATTCGTCGTCCGAATGTGGGAGTTTCCTATTGAAGTGCGACCAACGCGTTTCGAAAGCAATTTTATTCTGATTAATTTCCTGCTGAGCAAACTTCATTGGGCAGGATAATTATGCATATTCTCAATGTTAGATTTCGAATTACTGATTTCAAAATATTTATCATCAGATCTTAGTTGTGCAAATCTCCCCAACAGCCTCCATCGAAATGGATAAAATGACGGTTTCAATCGTTAATATTGTTAATATTCATTGATACACGTGACTTTATTACTGCGGTAATAATACTTTGAATAAAATTAGAAATTAATTTTATAAGAGAAAGCAAATATTATACTCGTTCGTGTCAAACACATGAACAATTAACAACAGAATCGTTGCGTTGCAACTTTACTCTGACGTTTGTTTTAAATAACAGTTGTTTACGTTCTGCAATATGAATGACAAATTCCGTAAAAGTTTCCATAAAAATTGATGCAATTTAAATTTGTACGAGGATTAATGTTCATGCATGAGTGTATATTTATTTATTTAAAAAAAAAACAGACATTCGCTGTTTGAACAATAAAAAACAATACTGATGCGAGTGATTCAATAATAATATTTTCTAAAAAATAAAGTAGAAAGTCGATTTTTTCAAAGGTATACAAATTATTTTTTTATATTTATCCCCTTGATATGTGTAATAAATTTCAATCGTAATGGAACTGTTTCTAAACCTAATTGTTGTTTCTAAACCTAACCTCAAAATTTTATTCCTGAACCAAAGACTGGCCACCTATCACACTCCATAAATGATCAACAACGAATAAAACAAGTCAGATAAGGCAACATGTGTAGTCCTCTTTGGAAGAGGAGCACTCCAGATTCTGAAAACCTTCACCAAAAGGTCTACGCCCCTCCAGCGATCAAAATTTCACCGCTAATTACACGGAGCAGGATTCACGGGCGCAGGGGGCAAGCCTTCCATCGCGTTGGTTAAAAAGAGGTTCACCAAACCTGGGCTTAAGATTGGCCAAGGCTTGGCATCCAGCCTGATCCAGCCTGATCCAGCCCTAACATAAAAGCGACCATTCCGCCTCGGAAAGTCCGTGGATGCACAATTAGGGAATCGTGGAACCGTTGGGTATCCCTGCCAATTCTTGAGAACCTTCCGTCGGTATTAAATGCGAACCCCTTTTCTGGAGGTGGTGGTTTATGGAAAAGGGGACACGGAACGGACAGAGGAGGGTGGGTGGGGACGGGATGGTGGCACAGAAAGAGGCAAAGAGACGGAGCTGCCTAGCCTCAGACTCCAAATGGGACTTGGTAGGAACTTTCTGGCAGCGTGGTTGCCAGTTCTCTGCATCGTGGATGCACCTGCAGACAGAAAGAAAGGGTGGAAGGTTGTAGGACCGACGCGGAGGTGGGAGTAAAGTAACGAGGGCTGCCACGAGGGTCGCCATATAATTACCGTTAATTGAATTCTTAGTGGCGGCCGTCCAACCTACCACCTACGAGACACTAAGGTCCCCTAGGGTCTTTTGCTTGTTAGGACGCGCGCGCGTTGCGTGTGGATCGACTATACGTGCATGCGTGTGTACCTGGCTTGCGTGTATTTACGAACGACTGTGACTGGGAAGCCTTAATGGATCGAGAAATTATTGCGCGAGATCCTCTGGAGGCCGAAATCATTTTGCCCGTTTGTGTTTCTTTCACCTGAAAGCTGGGACTACGTGTTTCTTATACCGGGTGTCGCGTTTTAATCTCTAAATGGATGCAGCACTGGGTCGGAAACATCGGGAATGGCGAGAGATACACCGAACAATCGATGACGCCCAGGTGTTCCAAGCTTCTCGTTAGTGCCTCGTATTATGCAATTAAACATTGTTGGTTTTTTCAATAATTTTCTACGCGGACACAGTTTAGAGCAGTCTAGGTTTGGGTTTTTGATAATCAATTAACGATGAATGAGTGGGGGTACATTGTGGTGGGGGAAACTCTTGAGTGACCTTGAGCAGCCACTACATTTCAGTCGCACCTCCAGCGCGACGAGTTACTTTCTTACGAGACTTGGCTCTAAGAATACAGAATTTGGAAATAACGATGGAATCATATTGTTTTTGCATGAAATTTGTTATTTTTGTCAGCC